CTTCTTGTTTTTTCTTTTAATCTATATTATTAATAAATTATTTTATACATGCCTCTTAAAAAATGCTTATAGTGTGTGCACTATTTCAGTTTGGGGCTGGATCATTTCTGTTACATCAATTCTCAATGCTGGTGAATGCGATTCTTGTTAAGTTTGGGCTTAGTGAAGAGATGCACAACCCGGTGAGTCATTGTATTCTTCTGATGTTACTTTATTACAATGCTTAAACATCATGATTAGCTTCTGGTAGACTGTAAAATTTAATTTGGCTAGCATACATGCATTATGTATAAATCAGCATATATGTGGCTAACTTCACATGATGCGTATGATTTGGATATCTTGTTGAAGTCTCACTTTATTTTTTGCTCCTGGTGTAACCAATTAGCTAACTTGGAGGCTTCACTTTAAAAAAATTAGAAGAAGTAAGTACAAATTTATTTCAGAAGCCAAAGTTTAACTTATTAAATAAGGCTTGTCCAAGGTGCTCACTTTTCTTCTTTTGGCTATAAGCTGTATCATGCCCTTGTGATTAATAATTCTGGAATAGTCACTACATCTGCAATTAAGAACTGGGATTGAGCCTCTTGAATGGTCCACTGAAGCGATTGTTTAGGATATTGGAGATGTCAAAAATCTTCCAGAGCTCTTAACTCTCAAATTCCTGGATCAAAAAATTTGACACCCGTTTTCTTTGAAAATTGGAGCTATATCATCAGAATTTTCTGTGTCTTGGGCCAACCTGAACTCACTTCTTTTGGATTTCTGTTGCTCAGGGAGTTTGGTGAGCATTTTGGATTTTTTCAATGAATTGTGGTTGACAAGAAAAAAAAAAGGATTTCATCAGTATACATAAGGGGAGAGATGTCAGTTTTTATCTGGTACTAATCTCTATCTTCTAATTTTGGTTATGAAAGAATTGGAGAGAAAAGAATTTAATATCTGAGCTTATGATGCATTTTTCTGCTGTGGTTTTTATATAATGTCATTTGCTTCTCTACCGGGATATTAGTTTCATTCCAGTTTGACAACTGTGTCCGCATTATTTTGTTGTTTCAGGTTGCCATATTTGCATTGGTGGGAATTGTCCTTGCAGGAGCTGCTTTAGGGTATTGGATTGTGAGGAAATTTGTCATCTCAAAAGATGGAAATGTTGATGCTAGTGTGTCCCAATTTGTGAAATGGGCAATGCGAGTAATTGCAACCACCTTTATTTTACAGGTATATAATTGCAATAATATTGTATGCATAACTTGTGTTAAATTTCAACCACCTTTATGAAGGAAATATCCTTTCTTTCTCTGATACACATTGGAAATCCCTATGGTATTTGTGATGTTTGTTAGCATGGTCTGCATGTTAAATTAACACAAACATTGTTGATTGTGTAGTTGATGCATGAAGGCCTCAATTTAATATGAACTGTTACTCCATGGCAAGTGTTATTTGTGGGACTTCCATCTTACCATCTGTTTGCAGCTACTGTTAGACTTACTCAAGATGAGCAAATTAATTCTCCTATAGATCTGCTCATAATTGAACCAGTGCTGACAGCCTTTTCTGGCTGAAATTATTTGGTAATCAAATTAAATTTTTGTGGTATTTTAGTTATATTTTCTCAATTCATCTGCTTTTTCTTGTGTTTCAGGGCACTCTAGACACTCCTTTAGCTGTTGGGACCTTGATTTCTTGTTTCACCATCTCTTTTCTCATTACTTCAGCAAGGAGGCGCTGTCAACTGTGAGTTCCAGTGGAATTTTTTCTTCCTCTTCTACTCTTATGAAGTAAAGAATTTACTGCTTGAATATTGAAAGTTTCCTTACTAGTTGATTGATGTTTTCTTTCGTGCTCCATCTTGGGCCCTTACCTTGAATGCATAGTATGCGTATGATATAGCAGTAGCAACTTACTGGATGTTGATTATCCGAGAAATGTCCATTGGGTGGATGAATATTTTCCCGCAAATGGATCCTTTCACTTCTGTAATTGCCTCTTGAAGGCCTCATATACAATGTTTGGGACTGGTAACTAATGTTACTAAATGTTGATTATGTAAGTTTCCTTTGATGGATTAATAACATCCTGACCTTACTAATGGATAATTTACCTTCTATAATCAGAGCCTGTTGAGCCGGCATATACAATGTTTGAGACTGGTAACTAATGTTACTAAATGTTGATTATGTAAGTTTCCGTTGATGGATAAATAAGATCCTGACCTTACTAATGGATAATTTACCTTCTATAATCAGAGCCTGTTGAGCCGGCATATGTGATGGTAGGACTCACTTAAAATGGTAGAAAAGACAGACAAATGAACTTGCTTAAATAATATGAACATGTTTTTTGGCTCTCTGAGCTGTGCAGTTGACCTGGCAGATTCCAAATTTTTGCTCGTTTTTTTTTTGTGCAATCCAATTTCCAATTTGGTGAACAGATATTTGATTTCTTGTAGGCATCAATCATATTCTAAAAAGAAGAGCCCAAAACAGTCAACATCAAGGAATGGCCATGCTGAATTTCTTAGCAGGCCACTGAAAATGAGCCCTAGAAGCGACATGTGGAATAGTTCAAGGAGTTCACCTGCATGGTATAACTCTCCTGTTAGAGGTATGGTTTATTTGGCATAGTTTCTGGCAGCTTTTTAAATTCATATATGACTGATAGATACATTCTAATGCTTTTCACTGAACTGATCTATGATTTTTCTTGTTGACTGTGAAAACTATCTTGATCAGAAATGGGCTCCATTCTTGAAATTTAAAATGCTAAAATTGTCCTCAGATAATTATATTATGGCTGTACATTCCTTGATGTATGTGATAATAATATGGCTGTACATTTTCGTCATAATAATTAGTATGTTGATCACGGAT